TACTCACGGCAATATTAGGATTATCAGCTAGAACGTATTCATGGGGAGGTGACGGGGGTCGTTTGGGGGATGGTGGTGCTGGAGCTGACTTCTCTGCCTTTTTGAAATATTTGGTGATTCCCGCGCTGCGGTTGACGGATTCCGCGATGGACTCGTCGGCCGTCGAGACGACCGAGGATAAGGACGAGGAAGAGTCGGAATCCGACATGGCGAAACCTGCGCGCAGAATCGAGGGCTGGCGACGCTGGTGCAGATGGCGACGGAGGAGGTGGTAGGGTTTTTGGTTGTTGGGGTTCAAAGAAGTATTTGATGGAGGGTAGCACGCCTTTGGAGATAAGATAAAAATAAGATGCCAGCCAGGCAGCTAGTTAGCTTTTTTGGTCGTAGGTAAGCAGAAAAAAGCTTCAGCCTCGAGTCGCTTGCTTAACATAACAGGGCTGAGTCAACTTTGGGGAGCGCAGTTTGATATCAGGCTGTCGAAGAGAGAAGATTGGTTCTTCGTAGCTGTAGCTGTAGCTGTAGCTGTAGCTGTAGCTGTAGATGGTGAGATGGTAGTAGATGGGAGCGAAACAGCCAACGTAGACAGAGAGAGGAATGATTGAACATGATGAAGAAAAAAAGGGGCCTCTTTCTGTTCTTCTAAACTATATATAGGTAACATGTCCTGCTGAGCAGTTGAAAGAGTCCAAGTTGAAATCCAGCTATTCACCAAAATGTTCTATTCACGTCTATGTCCTATTCACGGTGGATCAAGACAGAGGACAGCAGTCGCTTCCAGCCAAAAAGTCATGAACAAAGGCAGCACCAGAAAGGTACCATAGTAAAATATCAAAGTCTGCAGATGTACGCTTGAGCCAAGGTAGCGAACTATGATAACACCAGTAAATAGATTGAATCTATCAAGACACCGTATCGGAGGCCGACAACGCCGTGTAGGAGGCGATTATCCTCGATGCAGGATATGGCTGGGCTCCCTGTCTATCCCTAGTATCGCAGGCGGACTCGGACTCATAACTCGGTGGCGATTGAGTCACACACGCTGTACTTGGCGGTTAAGTTATATCACCATGAAATGTCTTGTCTGTCTAGGATCATCATCGTCTAGACACATCATCTTGCCTTCGCCTCGCCTTCGCCGTCTTCCTGGCCTGCCGTCCTGCCCGTCCTTCCCGTCCTGTTGCCGTCGATGTCCTTGACTTGACGTCGTTGTTTGTTTTGTTGACGTTGAAAAAGAGTCGAAAAGTCGAAAAGTCGAAGTTGCGGTTGGTGAGCTTAGTCAGCAAGACGAAAGCGGCTAGCTTAGCGACTCCCACAGAGAAAGCAACCACACAAGCCGCGAACATTTTTTGCATCTCGAACTCCAACTTTTCCACGACCAAGCCGACAACTTCGCGATAAGGTACGACCACCGCCTCGCTTCCTTGACGCTGCCGCCGGAGACTCACTGAGCAGACCCAGCACCGAGAAAACACCTGCTAACCGTCTCTGCAGTAATCATGGGTCGCGTGATCCGCAATCAGAGGAAGGGTCGTGGATCTATCTTCAGTACGTTGACCTCCAGCATCCATTGAGTATTTTTGTCTTCTTCTCTGCTTGCCGAAGGGGAAGAAAGGCGACGGAATTCGACGGACCGCAGACGCACGAAAGGCGCAGGGCGAATTGTCGAGCAGCGAGGGAGTAAAAACGCAGGGAGAAATAGAGGAATGCATGCTAATAAGTTGACTGTGTGAATAGCGGCTCGCACCCGTCTCAACAAGGCCCCAGCCCAGTTCCGAACCCTCGACTACGCTGAGCGCCATGGCTACATTCGCGGTGTCGTGAAGAAGATTGTCCACGACAGCGGCCGAGGTGCTCCCCTGGCCCAGGTCTCTTTCCGCCATCCATACAAGTACAAGGAGGTCACCGAGACCTTCATTGCCAACGAGGGCATGTACACCGGCCAGTTCGTCTACTCTGGCAAGCACGCTTCCCTCAACATCGGCAACGTCCTCCCTCTCGGCTCCGTGCCCGAAGGTACCGTTGTGACGAACGTGGAGGAGAAGGTCGGCGATAGAGGTGCGCTCGGCAGGACGTCTGGAAACTACGTTACTGTCATCGGACACAACCCCGAGGAGGGAAAGACACGCATCAAGATGCCCAGTGGTGCCAAGAAGGTCGTCAGCAGCAGAGTCAGAGGAATGGTTGGAATTGTTGCCGGTGGTGGCCGTACAGACAAGCCTCTCCTGAGTACGTCTACCCACGTCCCTCGTTTTTTTTTTTTTTTTTATGAGTGTCTGAATTGAGTTGAGAGAGTTGGTACTAACTTGTCTGTGCAGAGGCTTCTCGTGCTAAGCACAAGTTCGCTGCCAAGCGCAACTCGTGGCCCAAGACTCGTGGTGTTGCCATGAACCCCGTCGACCATGTAAGTGCAACAACGGCCCGACAGAGACGTATCATGTCTGCCATGCTAACTCCCTGCAGCCCCACGGTGGTGGTAACCACCAGCACATTGGCAAGGCTTCGACCATCTCCCGATATGCCGTACAGGGACAGAAAGCCGGTCTTATCGCTGCCCGCCGGACCGGTCTCCTGCGCGGAACCCAGAAGACCAAGGACTAGAAGTACTAATGGGATGGCGTGGGTCTTTTTTCATAATGATGTACGGAAGAATAAAATAAATCACTTCACCGTAGTCTTGTCTACTTCTGCTTCTTCTCCTCCTCCTTTTCTTCATCCTTTAATCCTTCTTAGCCCTCCGTTAATCCAATATCAACCCTTCTTCTCTATAATTTCTGCTATCTATCCTATCCCCCTTATTATCCCTTACCTTACTGCCGGCTTTTGCACCCTCACTGGCCTTGGCGCCCTCTTAATCACATGACCATGACATCATCACGTGTTTTTGCACGTCACGTGCAGCAGGCGACGCCTGAAGCGGCCTAGCGTCCCCGTCTTGCTCCCAAACTGGCCAATCACGGGACCGCGCCCTTGCCCTGCGCTCTCTTCCGTCACTCGCGCCCGAAAGAGCGAAGAGCTATATAACCGTCTCGCAGGCACCGCACATTGGCAGTCTTAGCAGTGCAGGATAGGAGACACGGTATACGAGACGATATTCGCTGAGACGTCTGAAGATTATACGAAGAGTCACAGAGCAGAGACGTGAAGAGACGCAAGATATACTCCGTACAGAGACAGACACAGAGAGAGAGACAGTACGCTGAGACACAGCAGAGTGATGGATATAGACGCAGGACGGGCCTTATAGAACATCGACCCCTTCCCATATCTCGATCCTCGCTCCTCGCTCCTCCCACCGCAGAGCCTAGTCCCTATCCGCCTGGCCTCCCTGCACCTCTTCTGGCCCTCCCACCACTCTCGAACAACACCCAATCCAGCCCGACGGTTCTCGGTCCATTCCCTGGAGTCCTACCATCATCATGACGGCGGAAACAGACAACAAGTCGGCCTACGCCACGACCTCTGCCAGATGGCGCGCAATCGTCAACCGGGATGCCGCTGCCACCGGGTTTGTGTACGGCGTGCGGACGACCAAGATCTACTGTCGCCCCCGCTGCCCTGCCCGTCTCGCCCGCCGTGCCAACGTCGAGTTCTACGACACGCCTCTCCTGGCCGAGAAGGCGGGATACCGCCCCTGCAAGCGGTGTAAGCCCGAAGACGTGCGCGCGCCTACCGATCCGCACATCAGGCTGGCCCAGCGGGCGTGCGAGACCATGACGCTGGCTGCTCTGGCCGGCGGAGACAAGCAGCGGCCGACCCTGTCAGATCTGTCTGGCGAGGCCGGCCTGACCCCCAGCCACTTCCACCGTGTCTTCAAGAAGGTCGTCGGGGTGACGCCAGGCAAGTTTGCCCGGGAGCTGATGGAGCGGAAGTCGTTGGGTAAAGTTGTGGTGCCCAGCGGTATCAATGCGAGGATATGTTGGCCGCCACCTCATCTGGCTCCCCTGGTTGGCATGAGCAGTCCCGTGCAGGACAGTAATAATAATAATAGTGCATCCTCGTTGGAGCCACAGGTCCAGACTCCCCCTCTTGGCGACTGTGACATCGATCAGATAATAGGGCAAGGATATAGTGATCCGCAGGCCGTGGGTCCGATCAACTGGAACGAATTCGATCTCATGTTAGCTGCAGCATCTGATCCAAGACAACAACAGCAGCAACAACAACAACAACATCACCATCATCATCACCAGCAGCAACATATAAACTTCTCTCGTCCCCCAACGTCCACTCCTGCCTCCACCTCTGCCGCTGTCACCACCTCATCGTCGCCTGCCGTCGGAGGAGGTAGTGGTATCTGTATGCCACAGACAACGGCGTCACACTCGTTTGACCCAAACTCACTCAACAACATCCACTCCATGCTGACTCTGGACCCCAACTCGACGTCGAACATCAACTTCGCCCAGTACATGGCCGAACCCATCGACTTCTCCCCCATGAACCCTCCCACCACCACAAATAGCAGCACCAACACCACTACCGGCCACAGTCCGCCTGACACCTTCGCCCATCCAACCCCCAGCCCTACATCTGTCCCTTCCCTGTATTCCCAGCAGTCTATCTCGCCCACTGACTCACCTCTGATGTTCGATTCTTACATTGGCCTTACCGGCTCCTGGCCCCCCTTGCTGCCCGAGGACACGGACTGGCTGGACAACCAGGTTCTGCTGCCGCCAGACTACACAAGTCTAGACTTCTGTGCCAGGTCATAAGCAACATCAACTTTCTCCTCTCTCCCTTGGCGAGCCTTATTTGAATAAGACCGGAGTTTTATGCGTTCTATGCGTTTTTTTAATGGGAATGGAAGCGGGTATCTGCAATGGGACGGCCCTGTCTTTGGTTGGAAAATGCTTTTTTGCTTTCTCGGTTTTTTGGACTGAAAAACGGTTCGGTTGTCTTCTCCTTAAAAAGCCTCACCCTGAATGTATTAATGAGCCTATACATTAGCGTAAGAATAACTAATATAGAAAGAAATAATGACCTGCGAACCTCTTCCACTTTCAGCTGTATGTAGTTATGGTATCTCTGGTATCTTCATCGTGTGCACACATCCCGGCAAGCCCACAGAAAGGAGCAGTCCCGCGTTGCACCAGGCTTGGCCACGGCGGTACAGAGGTACAGACTCCCATCCAGCCGGGCCAGATGAAGAGCAAAACCGCGGTCGTATGGGCAACAACAAGAATAATGGCATCGCGACAAGTAAGACACAAGAAAAAGCGGGCGGTTAGCTGCATCCTGGCTGCGTCTCCTGTTTCAAAGCCAGCAGAAGCCGACAGCCAACCGGTGCCCACCCCTGGCCGCCTCCCGCTACGTCCTGACGAAACAGATCCCCCATCGTCTGCATGATTCTTCTCTGCGTGCGTGAGAGTGTTGTAGTCAAAGCTGAAGGCTTGGAGAAGGGATGAAGTCGGGAGTCTGGGTTGCGGTCCGGGGGCGGTTGGCGCAGGTCGACGTTGGTTGGTCGGTCGGTCGAGCTTCGGGCGGGAAGAAGAAAAGAAACCATGCAGAGCACTTGGAGAGTTACGGACAGCGAGTAAGACGATGGATACCAGGAGAAGAGGAGACGAAGAAGATGATGAAGTTGGTGATGAAGACGAAGAACGCTCTTTAAACGGCCAAGGAGGAAAAAAGAGTCGAAAAGGCGCTGGCTGGTCCACCGTCTTCTTGAGTCCCTCTATTATAATAATCTCATAATAATAGCTTCCTTTATTTATTATCCCCATCGCCACAGCAGCGAAAGACTGGCTGGCAGTGAAGCAGCAGCGCAGAAGAAAAAGCAGGCTTGGTTCTTGTCTTGTTTCTTCTTCTTCTTCGTCTTCTTCGTCTTCTCGTCGTTCTTATTATTATCTTGTCCATCATCATCTTCTTGGTGAGACAGCAGCTGGTTTGACTTTTGTTCCACTCTTTTGCTTCATTACGCAAGTCGTTTCCTTCTCTCTGCCGTCTCTGCCACTCGCTCGAACGTCTTCTATCTCTCTGTCTTCAGTCCTTCGCTTCTCTGTTTACCCGAATCTAACGGATAAGACGCTCGTTACGGGGTTCTCGTCGCCATCATGAACGTCAACAAGAAGCTCGGCCGCCTCAAGCAGTGGGCTGGAGAGAGGATGGGCGGCGAGATCAAGACCAACGTCTCGGACGACTTCAAGCTGCTCGAGATGGAGATGAACCTCAGGCAAGAAGGTGGGCTGACGGACACTTTTTAACTACTCTTCGTACTCGTTCGGATACGGATGCTAACGCATTTTGGTAGGAATGGAGCGTCTGAACAAGGCCATGGCGGCGTATGTCAGGGCCATCTCGAAGCGCAGCGAGGGCGAGGACAAGGAGAAGCTCTTCCCAATTGGAAACTTGGGCGGCGTCATGGTCGCGCATGGCGAGGACTTTGCCAGCAACTCCGAGTACGGCCAGTGTCTTACAGGTGGGTTATCGCCTGCTGCGAGTTCTAGATACAAGTAGATACTAGCAGATACTGACGGGATTACAGCGTTCGGGCGGACGAACGAGCGAATCTCCAGGATTCAGGAGCAGTATGTCGCAGCTGCAACCTCTAGCTGGCTAGAATCTCTGGAACGGTCTCTCAACCAGCTGAAGGAGTACCAGGTAGGCATACTCTCTTTCATTTCACTTACAGATACCTTTTCTAACAATATATGAATAGGCGACTCGCAAGAAGCTGGAGAACCGGCGGCTGGCGTATGATACCTCCCAGGCAAAGATGCAAAAGGCCAAAAAGGAAGATTTCAGGGTGGAAGAAGAGCTCCGGTCGCAGAAGGTCAAGTACGAAGAGGCAACTGAAGAAGTCCTTCGTCGCATGATGGATATCAAGGAGTCTGAGCCTGAGTGCACCGCAGACATGAGCGCCTTTCTCGATGCGCAGTTAAACTACCATGAAAAATGCCGCGAGGTTCTCCTCCAGCTCAAGGACGAGTGGCCTGCTGGGTACGTCTCTACTTCTTCTTTTTTTTCATGCACCATTTTGTTCTTCACCGTACTAACTAATTATACCAGACCAACGCAGCAGTTCAACTCGTATGGCCGCCGGTCAACCCTGACTCGCTCCAACACCTCTTTCAACGACCAGATGGCAGGCGAGGACACGTACCAGTCCTCTTCCCAGCAGCCAGGCACCTCCAGGTCCCGCGAGCCCTCTCGGCCGGGCCTGGGTGGGCGTCAGCCAACCTTCGAGGGTCCAACGCAGCTCCGCACCAGGAGACCGTCTCCCTCCCCTGCACCAGCCCTACGAACCCCCCTCCGAACCGCGAGTGATAGCATCTCTCCGGCAACGATTGGCAGTAGTGCGGCCGGCATAGCTAATGCACGCTCACAGCTGCGGGTTATCAGCCAGGGGTACAATGGCGGCAACAACAACAATAATAATAGTAACACTCACAATGATGGCTACTACGACTCTACCACGGACGACGGGGCGTCTCCCGTCAGGAACAGTCCAGACCAGTACTATAGTTCCACCAGCACGTCTCCCTTGCGGACTGTACCGGCGTCAGGCCAGGTTCCCACACCAGCGTCGGGTTCAGGGTCAGGCACCGCAACACCCGTCAAGAAGCCGCCGCCTCCCCCTCCACCATCAAGGTCGAAGAAACCCCCGCCACCTCCTCCGCCACCAAAACGCTCTGTCTCTGCTTATGCCGTGTAGACTTCACCATCTCCTTTCTCTTTCTTGTCTTTCTTTCTTCTCTCTCTTGGACTGGGTCTGGGTGGTCAGGCAGTGTCTTTATATCTGGAGTCTGGCGTTGTCTGTCTCTGGCTCTCTGGTCTGGTCTGGTCTGGTCTCTGGTGCATGTCTAACTGTAGCTGGCCTATCATTATCCCTCACTATCACTATCACTGTTGCTATCACTGTTACTCTCTTTCTATCTCTCTCTCGCCGTAGCTTAAGAGTCCGGAACACCAAAGACTGCCCATCGTCCGCTTTAGGAAACACCTTAAATTTAAGCTTATCTGGACATCAGCAGAGCCTCATCTTAACCTCCTCCTAACCTCCTCTTCTTCTCTATCATGATATCTGCTACTTTTTCGCTCTTCTACCTCCACCCTCTGCTTCACACCTTGCTGTCTTCCTCTGGCTCTGCTCTTGTTTATACGCCCTCCGTCCCCCCCTCCACCTGCCTCCACCATCACGTGTCTTACTAAGCGTCACGTGGACCACCTAAAACTCTGCCCGTCCGCCCTTCCTTCGCCTTCTTTCTCGCCTCTTCCTGCTTCGCTGCCGTCTTTTCCCTCCCCTTGCGCTTCGTCTGCCCATAAGCAAAAAAAAAGAAGGCGACCCGAACCACCGCCGGCTCAAGGAGAAACATCCAGCGCGCCCTCGCCCTCCACATCGTCCGCTCCGCTACGCTCCCTGCACCGCGCGACGCCTGCCCTTCCACCCTTCCGTATTACCCTCTCGCTCGCTCTCTCGCTCTCCCTCACTTCAGCTCTCTGTCTACTTGCCTGCACGCCCACGCCCAGGCGGCCACGGCCACGGCCACCCAACCCTCTCCCATCTTTGGCCCTCGCCGCATAGCTAAAACCTGCCCATCTGCTACCGCGCAAGCTAGAAGGCCAAAAACGTAAAAATATACAGAACGCCGACGCGACGATCAGCGATAACCGCCGTCCACGCCCACGCTCGACTGCCTCTCTTCACTCTCTATCGCGTCTGCCTTGCTTGCTCGCTGGCTGGCTATGCTCTCCCTCGCCACTTGCTAGCCAGGGCACCGTCTGTCGTTATTCTTATATTTTTTTACCATTTTTTTTTGCATATCTTTCAAAGATTGCCGCGCTTTTTTTTTGATGAAGAGCTCTGCTAGCTCAGCATAGAATATTCAACCATGGCGTCTGTCCAGCAGTCTGCCAATATGCCGCAGCAGAACATCGGCCTGCCGCCAAACCTCACTCCCCAGCACATCCAGGAGGTTTACCAGGTATGTTGCTTATACGCTATCAAAAGAAAAGGAGAAAATATATGATACTGACCTGTTGAAGAAATTCCGGCAGATGCAAGAACAAGGTGTGCGCCATGATGACCCGGAATACCTTAAAGCTCACAATCTGCTGTCTGCCGTCCAGCGGCAACAGGCGTACCAGAAGCAGCGCCAGATGCAGATGCTTCATGCGCAGAGACAGCAGCAGCAACCTCAACCGCCTCAGCAGGTCCCCCAAGCTGCTCCCCAGGCTCCCCAGCAGCTGCAAGGGCCGCTAAATGGCATTGCTGATTCCAATGGAACTGATGGTAAGGTCTTGATCTTTTCGTCCAGCTTTTCTCTTTTAGCTTCCACTGCCTCTCATTTGTCACATTCACTTTGAATTTTGCGCAATTATTTGGACAACGCGATGCTAACGGTGTCTATGTAGCAAATTCTGCCGTCCCAAGTGCTAGCACCCCGAGTCAGAAAGGCGCCTCTCAAGGATCGCAAAGCTTCACGCCAGAACAGCTGGCAACCTTGAGGAATCAGATACTGGCCTTCAAGATGCTCTCCAAGAATCTGGCTATCCCCCAGCGCGTCCAGCAGCAGCTCTTTGCAAAGAAGGCAACAGGTGTTGACGGCGTTCTCAGCTCTGATCAGTCAGTAGATGGCACTGGTCGCGATGTATCTGGCGAGAGTGAAGCCGCTGTCGAGAAGCTCAGAACCATGTTCGAGACCTTCAAGAACCCCTATGACATCCTCGGCGCGACTATTAATTACAATGACCATGCCGTGCGCCGGAATCGGCTGAGGCTGCCTTGCATAACTCCCATGGGTATCGATCTCGACAAGGTCCGCGAAGACCGGGAAATGATCCTGTACAACCGTATTAATGCTCGAAAGGCAGAATTGGCCAAATTGCCTGCCAATCTTGGTGTCTGGGACAGTGGTGAAGGAGATTCACCCACAGCTGATGACTCCCTCAAGCTCAAGGCCCTGATTGAGTACAAGATGCTCAACCTCCTCCCTAAACAACGCGCGTTCCGTAGGCAGATCCAGAACGAGATGATGCACTTCGACTACCTTGCCATGTCTGCCAATCGACCGGCTCATCGTCGCATGAAGAAACAGTCCCTGCGTGAAGCCAGAGTTACCGAGAAGCTCGAGAAGCAGCAGCGCGATGCCCGTGAGACCAAGGAGAAACAGAAGCAGTATAACCAGCTACAGGCTATCCTTAACCACGGTGCTGATGTGCGCAATGCTGGAACAGAGCAGCGTGGCCGTATACAGAAACTTGGTCGTCTGATGATGGCTCATCACACTCACCTCGAGCGTGAGGAACAGAAACGAGTAGAACGAACTGCCAAGCAACGTCTCCAGGCTCTTAAGGCAAACGACGAGGAAACGTATATGAAACTGCTTGGTCAGGCCAAAGATTCCCGTATTTCCCACTTGCTCAAGCAGACCGATGGCTTCTTGCGGCAACTTGCTGCTTCCGTTCGTTCTCAGCAGCGCATGACTGCAGAACGTTATGGAGACGAAGACCAAATTGAGACCGATGAGGATATAGGTGACTCTGACGAAGAGGAAGAGAGCCGAAAGGTTGACTACTACGCCGTCGCCCATCGTATCAAGGAAGAAGTCACTATCCAACCGAGCATTCTTGTTGGTGGTACCCTCAAGGAATACCAGCTCCGTGGTCTAACCTGGATGATCTCCCTCTACAACAACAACCTTAACGGTATCTTGGCCGATGAGATGGGTCTCGGTAAAACTATCCAGACCATCAGTTTAATCACCTACCTTATCGAAACCAAGAAGCAAAACGGCCCATACCTCGTCATCGTTCCCCTGAGTACCCTGACCAACTGGAATCTCGAATTCGAGAAATGGGCCCCGTCTATCACTCGTATTGTCTACAAGGGTCCGCAAGTAACTCGAAAACAGCACCAGCAGGCCATTCGATGGGGTAACTTCCAGGTGCTTCTCACAACATATGAATTTATTATCAAGGACCGCCCTATTCTCAGCAAAGTCAAGTGGCTACACATGATTGTTGATGAAGGTCACCGTATGAAGAATGCGGGATCGAAGCTGAGTTTCACCCTTACCAACTACTACCAGTCCAGATACCGTTTGATTTTGACCGGAACTCCGCTGCAAAATAACCTTCCTGAGCTCTGGGCTCTGCTCAACTTCGCCCTCCCCAACATCTTCAAGTCCGTCAAATCGTTCGATGAATGGTTCAATACCCCGTTCGCGAATACAGGCAGTCAAGACCGTATGGAGCTTACAGAAGAAGAACAGTTGCTCGTCATTCGTCGCCTTCACAAAGTTCTTCGTCCATTCTTGCTCCGTCGTCTCAAGAAGGATGTCGAGAAAGATCTTCCCGAGAAGCAAGAACGTGTCATCAGATGCAGATTCTCTGCCCTCCAAGCCAAGCTGTATAAGCAGCTTGTCACTCACAACAAACTTGCTGTCAGTGACGGAAAGGGTGGAAAGACTCCTGTGCGTGGTCTGAGTAATATGCTCATGCAACTGCGTAAGCTCTGTAACCACCCGTTCGTCTTTGACTCGGTAGAAGAAGAGTTGAATCCCGGCAAGGCTACAAACGATCTTATTTGGCGTACTGCTGGTAAATTCGAACTGCTCGACCGAATCCTTCCTAAATTCTTTGCTTCGGGCCATCGTGTCCTCATGTTCTTCCAGATGACACAGATCATGAATATCATGGAAGACTTCATGCGGTTCCGTGGCATGAAGTATCTCCGGCTGGATGGTGCAACAAAATCAGACGACCGATCCGACCTACTGAGACGCTTCAACGAACCCGGATCAGAGTATTTCTGTTTCCTCCTCTCTACCCGTGCCGGTGGTCTGGGTCTAAACTTGCAAACCGCCGATACCGTCATCATATACGACTCCGATTGGAACCCTCACCAGGATCTGCAGGCTCAAGATCGTGCTCACAGAATCGGTCAGAAGAACGAAGTCCGTATTCTCCGACTGATCAGTTCCAACTCCGTTGAAGAACGAATCCTCGAGCGTGCCCAGTTCAAGCTCGATATGGACGGCAAGGTTATCCAGGCCGGTAAATTCGACAATAAGTCTACCAACGAGGAACGAGACGCTCTGCTGCGTACTCTGCTTGAAACCGCCGAGAACGCAGACCAAATTAACGACCAGGATGAGATGGATGATGATGACCTGAACGAAATCATGGCCCGATCTGAGACCGAGTTTGCCCTTTTCCAGAAGATTGACGCGGAGCGTCAGAAGACTTGCGAGTACGGCCCGGGACACAAGTTGCCTCGTCTCCTTGGTGAAGATGAGTTGCCGGACATCTATCTGACCGAAGAGAACCCCACAGCTCCCGCGGTTGAAGAAGTTGCTGGTCGTGGTGCTCGTGAGCGCAAGAACGTAAAATATGACGATGGCCTGACAGAAGAGCAATGGCTAACGGCTGTTGACGGCGATGAAGAAACGCTTGAAGAGACAATTGCAAAGAACGATGCCAGGATGGAACGGCTCCGTGCCAACCGTGAGAAGCGCCAGAGAAAAGCACAGGGTCTGGACTCTTCTCCTGAACCATCCAGAGAGACATCCGCCACGCCACAGCAGAAGAAACGCCGCAAGGGACCAGTCCCTAAACGCAAGGCCGATGAGCCAATTGAAGATGCCCCTGCCAAGCGCAAGAAAGGCAAAGCCAACAAGGCCGCGGACTCACTCACAAACACCGAACGAGCCACACTGCAGCGAATACTCAACAGCGTCTATCAGACTCTCATGGACCTTGTGGAGGACGTTCCTGCCGATTCCGAGGACAGTGATGAGGAACCCATGACTCGTTCTGTCATCGAACCGTTCATGAAGCCACCGCCTAAGTCACAATATCCAGACTATTACATGATCATCCAGACGCCCATCGCCATGGACATGATCAAGCGGAAAATCAATCGTGAAGAATACTCTAATCTCAAGGAGTTCCGCGAGGACATTCGTCTTCTCTGCACCAATGCCCGAACATACAATGAAGACGGAAGCTTACTCTTCCAAGACGCCAATAACATTGAGGTATGCACCGCAACAAATCCATTATTTCATTCGATACTAACAAGTTATTTAGGCCACCTGTACCGCCGAATTAAGAAAAGAGACTGAAAAGCACCCTGAATTTGCCGACTTTGATGACTCCGGTTCATCCGTGGGAGATGAATGAATAGTTTACTTTCTTCTGGTTCTGTTTTGCTCTGTGTTCAACTTACTAACTAGCTGATTCACTTCTCTGCGGTTCTCTGGCTGGCGTTGGTGCTCCGCTTGTATAATGTATCCAGTTCTTCGGCCTTTGTTGTGCTTTTCTCTATGCTTTTCCATGTAGAGTAATATTATAAATTAAAATCATTTTAACTCGTCTTAATATCTGCAGTACCATGAGACATTTTTCTCAGACTTTCTTCCTGAGTTGTGAAACTTTTTCGATGTCTGGGACCGATTCATTACTTTTAGACACGAACATACCCAGCTCAACTAGCAGTCAATACATGCAGAGACGTAGTTATTGTGCCCAAGTTACTCGACGGGACTCTTGTACGGGTCGAAGGAATGGAATATTTTTGTGTGACTACGTTTTATGTTGTTTTCGTTGGCAACTCTTCTTAGAATGGCCATTCCATAGCCTGTATTAATGCATGTCCTTGCTATATATCTTACGTATTCTCCGGAAGGGGAACATTCTAAGTTATAATAGATGGAGAATTACTTTCATCAGGTATGTCCCCGCTGGATGGTGCATTCTTGGACACTGGCTGGGATGAGATTTGCTTTGCTCTGACAATATCGATCATGCGGGTGCCGAGCTCTTCGGCACCATCAATCTTATCGAGCTTTGCTTGAAGCAGCTCTGCATCTCGCAGAAGCCTGCACAATGGGTTAGCCCATCAACAACTTATCCTCAGAGGTAAAGGCTCACCTTGATTTCCCAGTCTCAGTCCGTATCACCGCATCTTCAAATGCCTTACCCCATTGTTCCCTGTAGCTCTCAAATACCTGCCCAATGATCATACTCATACTAGACCCCGGAAGATACTTGCTCAGCACTCGTTGTAGCGTGAGCGCTTCCTTCGTGAGCGTCTCCATATGTGGGCTGACGCTCCGCTGTATCTCGTCTTCGTCATCCCATTTGATCTTCTCCATCTCCCTGATGTACAGGGTTGCGCGAAAACTCATTATGCTGATGAGCTTGTGGTGGATAGAGGACCGATGGTCTTGGAATAAGCGCTTTAGCTGGTCGTACTCTGCTAAGGCAGATGTTACAATTGATGGTCGACGGCGGATAGACTCGCGTAAGTATGGTATCAGACTAATGAAGAACGAAAGTGATTGTGAGGTAAGAGAAAGGTGCTTAGTATTGATGTTAGTTAGTCCAGCGGTGGTTCTAGCGCCAGCACCGAGGATGAGCTCTTGTGTGCGAGAGTTGTAGAGTGTGAGATAGTCGAGTAGGGCCATCGAGATTTCATTGGCCATACTGGGGATCGATGCCAGGAGGATTAAATATTGCTCTATGCCGCGAAGTGCAAATGCCGCCGAATCGACAAGCATAAACTTCTCCTCATCAATGACTGCCAGTGCCGGGTCCTTCTTATTTTGTTTAGCAGTATTCGAAGACTCCTCATAGTTAGTTTGTAAATTCCGTTCACCTGTTTCTAGGGCCGCCGTAGTGACATCTGTGTAACTAAGCCACACCGAGGAATCAGTGGTCATGGATTGGACCACGCGTTCCAGGATCAATGCGTCCTGGGGTTTGAAATTGACCGGCTCCCACCTCTCAGTCTCCATCTTCTGCGCTAGTTTCTGCTTTTCTACTTCGTGGAGAAGTGGGATAAAGTCGTGAATTTGCTTGTTCACGACACCCCTGAGAGCCGTTCCTGAGTGTCCAGAGATTGCCTCGCATTCATTGATAAACAGGCGATTCAGTGTAAAGTAGCGTAGGAATTCAGTTGGTCCAAGGCGAACCGTTTGCTCGGTTCTGACACGCAGAACTTTTGTCATTTCTGACTCGACCTTGTCCACTGCTTGTACCAGGAGGCTCGACATATCAAGGGTTTGCGTCATGTCTTCCTGTAGATTACATCTCTCCGGAAGGCTAGACGTGAGTACATTGCTTGGACTCTTCTTTATCCCGCTTGTGATATCGAGTAGAACTTTGATCTGTACACTAAGCCTCCGTAATGCCTCACCTACTCGGCAGTAGACCTTGACGAAGAAGACATGGGCATCCTCAGGGCTGAGAGCACGCAAGTTGCGAGACAGAATGCTCAACCTTTCCTGCTGGCTCGGACATCGACCGCTTGTCAGCGTAGAGGCAGACACCATAGATTCATTATCGTCATCCGTAGAACTAGGAAGGTGTCGGCGAATCAGAGACTTCATCTCTCGAATAACGGCTTCGCGAAATGTGGTACTTGCCGCAGCAAGATACTGCGACTGGCCAAGTCCCTGCAAAACAGGGACGAGTTCCTCACGCAATTTTTCTGCAGTCGTCATGGGCGCGGGTGTCGATAGGGAACTATGTGTGCGTTTTGAGATATCAGTCCAGCGCGACAGAGTATCTCTCGGCGGAATACTGGACACATGTTGGCGGAGATCGCACAAAAGAACATGCAGCAATCGTGCTTCGTATCCCTTCCATATCCGCAGGCGAAGCTGGCCGATGTTTTGCAATGGGTCTTCAAGGACGTGCAGTTGGCGTAGATCGATAAGCCTGGTAAATGAATTCGGCAGAAACCAGCACAACTCGCTGCCGATTTTCGGATCCAGTGTTCCGGATACAAGCTGTTCGACGTATGAGATATGTTGTATAGCCGTCTCCAGTTTTCCAGAGTCTACGAGCTCCTCACAATGGCTGACGCCGCGGAGAACACATTGATGTTGCATGATGGCCTCTCCCAGTTTCCTTAGATTGTCCTGTCTTCTCTTCATTCTGATGATCTCAAAACCGTGCTCTATCATTGCATTGTCCAGATGTACGAGGTCCTCCCTCAATTTCTGGATCTTCGTGACGGAGTGGGATACTTCGGTCTGAAGTTCACGAAGGGAGCCGAGCGCGGCAAAAAAAGAGGTTGACGCTTTCGAAATCGAATATATTAAATGAATCTCAACGGTGTCCATGTACCACGATAATTTTTCTTGCAATATGGCATCGGTAGTAAGCGCCTTTCTGGCAGGATGCGGATCACCATTTGCAACAATGCCATCTGTGTCGTTATTACGGTTTCCAATAGTGGATAGTGGCTGCCGTACAACCTCCGCATGCTCACTGACAACATCAAATGTGCGCGGGTCCTCGAGGCGAAAATTTTCATCGAAATAGACGGAGGGAATTGTAGACAGTGGAGTAGGTGCAAGTTGACCGCGTTTCGAAACACCAATCTTTGACTTTTCTCGCGGTGCAAACTCCTCATGTTTGTCAGTGGCGGTGTCTTGACGAAACGACTGTGTGCCGCGGTTCTCGTACTCGAGCTTCATACGCTGGAGGGTGTCAAACAGGGGCCCGATCTGGCTGAGGTAGTTTTTAAAAACCAAGGGCTCGACGGGGGGTATAGTGGTGAGAGTAACGGGAGGTATGTCCCTGGACGTCGGCGGTTTCTGCGAAGTTGAAGGGGCTGCGGTGGGAGGAAGGGTCCCAGTGCGTGATATTGGCGGTTTAAGGAGTATATATATCGCTTCGAGAATCGTCAATAAACGGTTTCATGTAATCTCGCCTCTGAGCTTTACCTGCCATTTTGACCTGGCTCTGCTATTGTACTGTAGTCGTAACTGGAAAATGCGTCTTCTGTCCTTGGTGAAAGCGACACCGCAAAGGAATGCGGGCTCCCTGACTTGCCGCTTGAGAGAGTTGACATGATTGCCCAGCGCAGCGTAGAGTAGCGCTTGCGTTACGAAAGATACTGTTGCTTTAACTTGCTTAGGAATTGTCAAGGGTAGATGGAGGTAGTTATTTATTGAGCAGTGGAGATTGAAGTCGGTCATTCTTAGTAACTAAGTTAATGAGGCTGAACAGCAAAGTTTAACTTCCATATTATGTAAGAAGTTTGTGGAGACTAAGTGGGTCGATGGCTGTCTGTCCTCTAGTTAGTTGACTGGTTAAAGCATCAAAAGATCGATTCTTTTCAACGTCAACAACACAACTTCGTCGGTATTACCTTACATTCAGCATTATAAGACTCAAAAATGGTGGCATTTTTCATCATTATACCCCGCGAATGCTATATTTTACTCTTCTATTATGGACTCTGGAGCTATTACCAAAGGCATGCTTCTCCGTTATTCGGAAATTATGTTGAGATATATTATATCGGGAAGACATGAAAACAGCACCAGCCCAAAACTCTAGACAGAGTGCTCAAACAAATGCAAGGCAACTCTATAGCTCCTTCTCACTCGGCTTAATTTTGTTGAGAATAATATCCAGGTTTTGTTCACAAGCCTTGCTCTCGTTCTCCACTATCTCCTGATGCCTCGAGCTACGGATGCTAAAGACTGCATCGAAAGGCAGCGGCTGCGAGTCCGGGCTCTGTGACACATTGTCCGGATCAATTTCCTTTTTATTTCCAGCCTCATCATAGGCATATTCGAAGTTGTATGCCCAGAGCATCCGTGATATCACTGAGAAGAGTGTATCGCGGACAAGATACTGCCCTGGACAAGCTCGTCTACCGAACCCGAACGGACAGGTTGGCAGCGCAGAGTCATCGATCCATCGCTGTGGCCGGAAGTTGCTGGGATCACCGAAGATTTCCTCATCGTGCTCCAGTGACCAGTGGTTGGCTGCCACGGGGGTGCCCTTTGGAATCCTGCAACCCATGTACTCGTCATCTTCAATGACTGCGTGAGGCATCCCGGTGACAGCGATGGGCCGCCATCTCTGCACCTCGGCTATAAAGGCATTGACATAGGGCAAATTCGGCATATCGTCGAATGTTGGCAGCCTATCGGGCCCTACAACTCGGTCAAGCTCTTCTTGTGCCTCCTTGACGGCATCCTGATGCAATACGCTTGCCATGACGAAGACGCACGGGGTCATCGGAACAGCGTGGCCGGCTTCAAAAAGGTCCGCAGATGTCATTATTATATCTTCTTTGTCGATGTTATTCCTCTCTTTTTCCCCGGCTAAGGCTTTGCACCAATTCCATGAACGTGACATAAGTGCCGTATCTGTGA